CAGTTGTGAGCAGCGTGCTGGATGAAGTTGTGTCCTCACCTGCTCCTCACTGTCAGCACCTGTTTATGACATGATTCAGTGGAGCACATGGCCTCAATGGTGTCATTTTCAGGGCAGAACAACTTCTAACCATTTACATTATGTACTGTTGAAGAATCTGGCTTCACAGTGAGGTGAAAAAAAATCTAATTTCTGTCTAAAAATAAAAGTTCTTCTAACATGTACATATGCATCCATACAGTATTACACATATACTGTATACTGACTTACACATATATTTACATGCTATTTACTTCTGGTATTTGTTGTTATGGTTTTACAGTTTTTATAAGTTTGACTTATAAGTTTATACGTGTCTGTAGGCCTATGTTAATTTATACTTTAAACATGTTTTTAACACAAGTTTCTTACTTGTACTTACTTCAAGTATTTGTTCAAAACTTGTAAAAATGTTGTCCCAACTTTCCAAAATGAGTCATCTGACCAAAAAATTTTAGCGTGAAAAATTATGCAGTAACTATTAATAAAAAAATGATAATTACGTTACATTTTAATTTACATTTTGTATTATCATATTACTTTCAGAATCAGAATCAGAATGAGCTTTATTGCCAGGTATGTTTACACATACGAGGAATTTGTTTTAGTGACAGAAGCTCCACAGTGCAACAGAATGACAGTGACAAGACAGGCCACAGATAATAAAAATAATTATATAAAAATATACAAAATAGACAATTTACAAAAAAGCAAAAACACAATATATAACATAGACAATTTTGTATGTACAGGTATGATATGCGCAAATTTGAAATGTAAATAAGAATGTGTGTTAAATAAATCATGTATACTAGTGTCGTGTGTTCCACGATTATTGTTAAGTGTTCATGAGATGGATTGCCCGAGGAAAGAAACTGTTCCTGTGTCTAGTAGTTCTGGTGCTCAGTGCTCTGTAGCTTCGACCAGATGGCAACAGTTCAAAGAGGGAGTGTGCTGGATGTGAGGGGTCCAGAGTGATTTTGCTAGCCCTTTTGCTCACTCTGGGTGAGTACAGTTCTTGGAGAGAAGGGAGGGTTGTACCAGTGATTCGCTCAGCAGTCCGGACTATCCTCTGTAGTCTTCTGAGGTCAGATTTGGTAGCTGAGCTGAACCAGACAGTTATAGAAGTGCAGAGGACGGATTCAATGATGGTGGAGTAGAACTGTTTCAGCAGCTCTTGTGGCAGGTTGAACTTCCTCAGCTGGCGAAGGAAGTACAACCTCTGCTGGGCCTTTTTCACAAAGGACTCAATGTGATTGTCCCACTTCAGGTCCTGAGAGATAGTAGTGCCCAGGAACCTGAATGTCTCCACTGTTGTTACAGTGCTGTTCATGATAGTGAGTGGGGGGAGAGCAGAGGGGTTCCTCCTGAAGTCCACTATCATCTCCACAGTTTTGAGCGTGTTAACTTCTGGTGAGACATGTAACGTGCTGTCTGTATTTTGGCAATTCACGGGAAAGATTTGCTTTATTAAAGTCCCCAAGAATGATTATAAACAGTGAGTAAACACTCACGAGAATGAACGAGCAAAACTCCTGCGGCGAATAGAACGGCTTGCAGTTAACGAAGAGCGCTTCTAGATCGGGACAACACATCTTCTTTAACGCTGTAACATCTGTACACCACCTTTCGTTGATGTAAAAACATGTCCCGCCGCCGCGCGATTTCCCCGTTGATACTGCGTCGCGGTCTGCTCTAAACAGCTGAAAGCTGGGCAGATGTAGCGCGCTGTCCGGAATGGCGTCAATTCAGCCAGGTTTCCGTGAAGCACAGAGCAGCAGAGTTTGAAAAATCCTTGTTTGTCCTGGAGAGCAGAAGAAGTTCGTCCGTTTTGTTGGGTAGAGAGCGGAGATTCGCCATATGGATGCTGGGCAACGGCGTTCTGAATCCGCGCTTCCGGATGCTAGGCAACGGCGTTCGAAATCCGCGTGGACGGGGGAAGAGAGCCGGCGTGCTCGTGTACGCCTGGCAGCGCGGATTTCGAACGCCGTTGCGTTCTTCTCGCCGAGAAGACCCCCGCAGATGCCCGATCAGGGTCGTGCTTTCCTTTTTGCAGAAAGTGTTGGAGCGAAGGCTGTCTCCTTCCACCCTTAAAGTCTATGTCGCTGTGATTGCTGCTAACCATGACCCGGTGGAAGGGAAATTGGTAGGGAAGCATGATCTGGTCATCAGGTTCCTCAGGGGGGCGAGAAGGTTAAATCCTCCCCGGCCCCCCTCTATACCCGAGTTTGGGCCGGCTGACTCCCAGGTAATCCTCACCCAGGTAAGTGAGGTTGCGAGCTCACTCTACTAGAAGTGTTGCATCTTCAGTGTTTTCCCAGTGTTATCCAATCTCACTTAGTGGGTAGTGCTACAACAATGTACGACTGGTCTTCTTGTTGCGAGCCCCGGCCTACACCAAAAGGACACTGGAAGGGGCACCATCCATGGCGCTTTGGTAGGGATCCCAATTCGTCGGTCACCGACGTGACGTCGAGAGTGACCGACTGAAAGGGAACGTCTCGGTTACGTATATAACCCTCGTTCCCTGAAGGAGGGAACGGAGACGTCCCGTCCCATCACCATGGCTGCTGTACCACCGCTGAGCGGCCGGATCACCGGCTCGGCTCCTCAGCGAAAACCTGGTATGCATTGCACTGGCTGCCTTTTTATGCTCACACTGTGATCAGTGGCAGCTGGATGCAATCATCGCATGCCAATGTGCATTGGCTTGTTTAGTTTACACTCGAAGTGGATTGGTTTCTCTAGGCGAAATCCCAATTCGTCGGTCACCGACATGACGTCTCCATTCCCTCCTTCAGGAAATGAGGGTTACATACGTAACCGAGACGTTTCCTGTTTCCTCTGCCAGTGCCATCAGGCCCCTCAAGGTTAAATGTCACTGATAATTGGTTGCTTTTACATCACATCAGTAGATAATACACTAGGGTGACCATATGTGCCATTTTCCCAGGACGCGTCCTGGCCAGGATTTCTACATTGCCTGACTGTCGGTTTTGTCTTAAGTTCATGTAAACCGTTGCAAAATAAAACGCATGAGTATCAGTATTGGATCCGTGAAATAGATCTTGTGACAGCAGCCTAGCTGTGCCTTCTTTTATTAATGTTAATCAAACAACAAAACATACTGCTCTTGACTAAATTATGCACGTATGGTCACCCTATAATACACCTATTTCACAAAGGCGGTTTACGGGGTCCTGAAGCATGCAACATGGTGCATTTTATATTTGATGAAGAAGCTCTGGACTTTTGGTCCTGCAATACACAGCATAGAGACAGTGTTCACCATTCAGACGGGAAACGCCGAAACAAGAAGATGCTTCAAAACACTAGTCAGTCTATACAAAGCAATGGCTCCCTCTAGTGGACAATGGAGTTAAACTATTTATATATTTTGATTGTTTGTGGCGTTTGCTAAAGATTGCACACAGATAAATGAATAATATAAAATCAACCAATTTAAAAATTAAGTTCTTATTAATTATTCTTTTTCTCTTAAGTTAAAAAATAATAATAAATAGCAGTTATAAATGTATTTTATTCTTAAGAATGTTGGGGCTGGATTGACGCAAATCTTCTTGAGAAAGAAGTTAAATAAGTGCTGCAAGTAGTTGTAAAAATGTGCAATTCTTGAAAACTTCTAAAGAGGTTCTCAACTATTGTCCTAAAACTTATAATAATCTTGAAGTATTAATTACATTTTATTTGTAAGAATGTTGGGGCTGGATTCACAAAAATAGTCTAAGGAAAGAAGTACTGTCAATAGTTAAATCAAGTTCGGATTGTTTTATTGTGTTCAAAAAAGCAAAAGAAAAAAAAAAAGAAAAAGAAATTGCTTAAGATGAATTCCAAGAAGTTTGTAAAACTGTGCAAGCCTTGATAAAGTTTTCAAATATGTCCTTAAAAACATAAGAAGAATCTTGAGGTATTATTTCACCTTTTAAAACCAATGCCACACACAGATAAATTAATAATAAAATGAGTTAACACTAACACTAATATTTAATAATGTTTAATTTAATAATTAATTTTTAAAAATCTGATTGAAATACCCTTTATCTTGAATTTTGTTTGGTTTTCTATGAGGATGTAAGAGCATTATTTGTTTTGATCATGTGAAGTAATAGTTTTCACATTTAGTTTACCATTTTTTTCATATATTTAAAGCACTTTATGAGGGTCAGAGTCGGAGTATGCTATGCACAGTATATATTATCATATACTTATATATAGTTCTGATTTATATTCAGTAAGAAATAATAATCCTTTATCAGATTTATCAAGTGATTTACAATATGACAACAGCCTGCAACTATTGGCACAAACACACACAACGGAATTTTATACTGCATAGTGCATACTCCAACTTGTGTTAAGAATAATTTGCATATAAGCTCCTGTACCCTCAGTTCACCTCCTCCACACACACACACACACACACACTTACGCACATGTTACTGTTACAGTATATTGCATTTTTTGCACGTTGTCATCTAGTTTTCCATTTTCCCCTATGACATCAAATTACACTATTTACAGCATGTCAACTCATGAGTCAGACGGATAGAGTCTAAGCAAGAACTAAGAAAGTCTTTCCATCATTTGCCAACTTTTAACCTGTAATTCAGAATGAAACCAACAGCGTAACAAAGAAAAGGTTCTGGTCCGTTTGTAGGTCAAATACTGTTGTTCCAGTGAATCCCAAATAAGGGATCGAAAAGGAAACAAAAAAACATTTCTTTGGAATCTTTGAAGTCAATCTTTCCAAGGAAGGACAAAAACAATGCAAACATGCGCTCACACAGATTCATTCAGCCATTCTTTGGAAACCTTATGCACTGGCATAACTCGTTTTTTTTTTTTTTACTAAGTGACATCACAACTCAGTTGTATTTGAATCTCTCCTCCACACTTCAGTGAACAGAAAAGCAAGTTCTCACCAGCTAAAACACCACAAAATGGCAACTCAGCCGTCTCACTTTGAGGAGAACCTTCTGTGCCCTGTTTGCCGTGACATCTTCAGAGATCCCGTTCTCCTGCTGTGTTCTCATAGCTTTTGCTGGGTCTGTCTGGATCAGTACTGGGAGCTCAGCGGATCACAGATGTGCCCTGTATGCCGGACAGACTTCTGCATGGACTGTCCTCCATGCAACCGTGCTTTGAAGGACCTGTGTGAGATCTTCCTTCAGGAGAGAAAAAATTTGATGTCAGTAGAGGCCGAGTTATTCTGCAGTGTGCATGGAGAGAAACTTAAGCTCTTCTGCGAGGAGGACGAGCATCTCGTGTGCAGCGTGTGTGTGAACGAAGATATTCATGTCAAACACACATGCAGACCTGTGGATGAAGCTGCAGTTGCTCTCAAGGTACAGTTCACATTATCTGTGAGATCCAGCAGCTTTTAGAGAAAAATATTACTTTACTTTTACTTTTTAGTTTTAATAGTTTTAATTTAAGAGAATTTAAAGAGAACTTAATTCCACTTCACTGCATTTTAACTTACAGATATTAATAATCAGTTCAAAACTTCACATATCAATGAAAAAAACAGAGATTTTGTACTTCATTTTTTGTCATTAAGTATTTTAAGAATAGTGCAAATTCTTTGAAAAAGTTAGAATTTTGAGTAAGGCCTGAATAAATCGTTTTTCCATGCGGAGTGTAGGCAGGGCTGGACTGGGACAAAAAAATGGCCCAGGCAGCCCACCACCATATATATATATATGTATATGTATATGTATATATATATGTGTATATGTATATATATATGTGTATATGTATATATATATATGTGTATATGTATATATATATATGTGTATATGTATATCTATATTTTAAAATGTAATTTATTCCTGTGATTTCAATGCTGATTTTTTTAGCATCATTACTCAAGTCACATGATCCTTCAGAAATCATTTAAATATTCTGATTTGCTGCTAAAAAAAGA